AAAGTGAACAAGTGCCCTGTAAGGTTTTATCGCAGAAACAGATTATTCGGCTCTGAAGTTATTTGCGACTGTCATCTTAATATCACATTTTACAAATTTGTTCGTTCGTGATTGTTTTAAAAGATTTTCCTCTCAGTTTTAGGTGATTTCAATATTCATACCTTTCGGTTTCTTGAAGCCGTTAGCCTTTTGCGGTTGTTCTGAATTCATCAAATTCTTCTCCTTAATTATAATGTCACGACTCGTATTTGCGCCGGGAGAGTGAGCTGTCTGGGAGTCACCCACAATCTTACGCCTCATTCTCCCTGATGTTATTTTAGGTTGAGGAGGTGATCGCTCTGGAGTGAGTGGCTCGACGCGAGGTGAATGTCGTCGTGGTGGTGTGCATCCACTGGGTGATCTCGCAGTACGTGTTTGATTAGAGCCTCGTGGAGTCTGCGGTTTGTTCTTGTTGAGAGCTCTTTCTGAAGCATCTGACTCAAATGCATTGCCTTGAGAATGTTGATTGAAGCAAATTGGAAGTCTGCGATATGAATGTAATGTCATTTCGAAATCAATTTTCGTTTTCAGCATGGCTGCGATTTCATCATTATCATAGTATTAGGAAGGTTGAAAGGGCATCATATATCCAGCTTCAGCGAGCATATTTTTGAGAGATGAACTAAAAATTGGAAGCTGTTTGGCAAGCAGAAGCCAACAAGGAGGAGGAATTACACGAGTACATGACGTTCCGCTGCCAGCAATTTTACAGGTATCAAATTTGTTCATCCCATGTGAGCCTATATCCCCACCTTGACTAATCTTCAGCCTGAAGCCGGATAAGATGAAGCCTAGGATTAAGCATCGGTTGGACTTCAGCCTAAGCACGTCTGGGTTGAGCCTGGGTTCGGCTTGAGACTAAACACTAGCCTAAGCCTGAGTGTAAGCGTAGTCCTATGTTGATTAGAAGAAATTAGCTTGCTTAGCACTTTTTTTACCGTGCATCAACTTGTTTGACATTGTTCCCACTTCGGTTGGAAGAATTGGCTGTAGTTAAGCTTGAGCTAAAATGTAAGCTTTCTACGCGGTAGCTAGAAGTCCTGCAGGAGAGTGCAGAAATTTCATGGCAGCAGAAAACAGGCGACGGTGTTACGGCGGCGAAAAGACCTGATTCTGAATTATACACCTTGAGATTCGTCGGATACGGTTCCCTGTTGCATTCGCATCAGCTGCATTTGCTCGTCACCTAAACGTTTTAACAATCACATAGTAATTCCATTTTACGAAGGTCGCATCTCCCAATAATAATGCATTCACTAACAGACTACATCAGGTAAGAAGGTAGACGATAACATGAGGAATAAGGCGATGTCAACAGCTGCGTTTGTGACAGCTTCCGGAACAGAAGTAAGTGTTGAAGGTGAGATTGTTCTAGAAATTCGTTTTATGATTATTTGTATTGTGCCATCCTGTCACGGATACAAAACATACTGGACAGTGGAGAAAAGAAGCCAGAAGATAGCTGTGAGCTGGCTGTCCGTAGTGTGGGCGATTTGGCTGTATCGTTTGGTGATATTGACAGCAGTTGCTTTGATCGCAGGCTCGAGGATGATCTGGAAAAGCTGATAGGAAATATATTTATGAGATGAGCTAAATTCAAGGTTCACTAATAATGAGCGATTTTACGGAAGCGAGCGTGGATAGAGCAAGTTCATTTATAGGTGTATCAAGGTGAAATGCGTTCAGTAATTATGCTGAAGTGTGGAAAGCAGTAGGCTCGGGAAGTGCTCACTAAATAAAGAAGGAGGAAGGTCAAATGGAACGAAAAAGTGGTTGCTTTGAAAAGTTCACCTTTGTGTATCAGATAGAGATGAAGATGATGTTGTTGTTTTATATGATCGCGTATCACTCATCGAGAGTAATTCGTTCTGCAAATGATTCATTCCCGTGTCACTTCACATGCCCTCTATTTGAGAACATTTCTCTGGCTTTGATCTAACCCAGTGCTTCGTGACTGCTTCTTATCCGCATCTTATCTTTTTTTACAATGTTTAATGCAGCCTCAAGCTTTTGAGTGAACCAAGCATTATGCAAGTTAAATATTCA